AAAGATGCATCCAAGGTAAACATATAGGCATGCAAATGGGACTGAAATGACATGGTGGCACATTGCAGTAACAGTGTTCAATATATTGTGTCATAGAAGAGATGTCGGGTTTTCGCTTCTCTCCACAATGTACAAATAGGACGACCCACAGCTTTAAACAACAATAGAAGGTGTCAGCTAATAGTTAAAACCCTGAGGGTGATAGCTAATACTGTAAAAATTTAGTGTTACCATGAATTACTTGGTATATTTGTCATTTATCCTAGGTATGCATACAATTATAGGGCAGGCTCTAAATGCACTTAAAATTTTAGGATGCATTTAAAGCCTCCCAACTACAGTCATATACCACAAATATAAATAATGTCATAGATGGAAGAAGATTTACAGTACAATGTAACCAACTCCTTGCCAATTTACTGTAACTGACTTCTTGCCAATTCAAGTCAACAACAAGCACGAAGGCAGTGTAATTCTATGAACACAAAAAGTTAAAACATTTTTTGAACTACCTAATAAAATGAAAGGAAAATTCTACTTACACACTATACCTGTTATTATAATATTTTTATTCTTTTATAAGATTACTATTAAGAACTAAAAAACCTTATTGTTTTTCTTTGATTAACCTCTGATCATATATCCAGAGTAACAGAGTACTCATTTGTGTTTGTTATTGCCAGAAAAAATAGAATTTTTATTGGGCTTTGACTTTTAAGACTTAATAGAAGTAGTTTTGTTGGTGGGTTGCTGTCATTGGAGGTAATTTGGTGAGTTGGGTCTGAATTTGGAGGTGAATTCAGGCTCGGTAAGAGGGATTAAATATATAACAGTGGTACCGAACTTTTTCCCTACTCAGTCTGTGTTCCTTAGTTGTAAATTGTATGTATAAAACAGTCCTTAATGCACCTTAGCGAGCCATTTGATGAAGATAAAAGGTTTTTATCTGTAATTTTTTTCCCAGTTTAGTTTGAAATTGCAAATATAACTTGACAATCATGATACTGTAATCTTACTTTATTCACTGAACACGGTCTCTTCAAATTCCATGAATATACATCACACATTTGGAAATTAATCTTACTGTATTGTCCTTGTAGATTAACAATCATAGAGTACAGTTTTAGACATACTAAATGCTATAATCTGCTGTTTCTGCATTACCAGTCACACAGTTGGAGGTATATTGGACAGAGCCATTGAAGCAGAGGACAAAAAACATGGAGATTTATTGAGGCTGGTGATACTTCCTCTCTTCTAACTCTCTTCTGTGTCTACTATTGGCTGTTCTGCTATACACTATGGTCACTTTAAAAATCCTTTCGTTATTTACATTATGTTACTATAATGTGAGCAGGATCATGTTGAGGGCTACCTTGAAATGTAAGCATTTTCACTTCCATCATCTAATCTAACCTACATACAGATACATCTCTAACATAATCAATGTGGCAGATCAAATAGAAAAGAAATGTAGTGAACTTCCTTACTTGACAGCAACAGAAAATTAAGTACATAAATGTGGAAAATAAAACCAAACCTTGTTCAAAAGGGCACCTGGCTGGATCCCCAAAATACTGAGACAATGAATCTGCACTTCTTCCCTGCAAGATAAATGTGTCGGTATACTTAACTAAGCAAGAACTTGCAGATTTTAACAAAAGAAAATCAAACCAAATTTACTGCTGAATTTTCCACTAAGATTAAAATTTCAGTATTGGCAAATCCCCTTTATTTTATATCTCAGCATCACTGCCAACAAACATACACTAGTTTTGTTATGAAACTAGAATTATGTACATCTACGAAGATCCAACAATTTCTTTACAAAAAGAAGTGTCAGCATTTTTCCTTTCAAGCATATTTCTAAATTTTTCTCTTTTACAGAAAACATTGTATGCCTACTCCTGGGCATAAATCAAGCTCCTGAGGTCGCTAATGCATCAATGTCATTTTATTGTTCCTTGCACGAACAGCAGACAACTTAAGTAGGCTGTCCAATTTGAATCCTATGGCAGATCCTGAAATACAAATGAGGACATCAATGCCAAAAGCTTTCCACCAAACAAAATATAAATATTACAGATCATAACATACTTCAATCTCACAGAATAATACCTCAAGCAGTGCCTTGGTTCAATGCATTTCCTACAGTGAGAATCGTCTGCATTACTTGACGCAATCTTGCAGATTCTTTTACCTATAATAATGGGTATGATATTAAGGTACTAAAAATGATTTCTCGCTAGGTCTAACTTCACAAACCCTAAATAAAAGGAATTCCTTTTATTAAATGACATGCCGTGGAAAGTTGATTGTCATTTATGCCGTGGATGCTTCAAGGATCTGAAGCAAGAAACAACAATGCACATAAAATTAGATTGGTGATTTTCCCATTTTGGGTTGGGGGAATTTGGCAAGTCTGGGAAGGAAAGCAAACTTGCACTGAACCACAATGTTAATGTTAACTTTAAACATATTTTGCGTAGACAATATGAGAATGGTAAACACTAACTCAACAAACAAAATGACTCACACAAATCCAGCAGACATTAACTATAGCAAAGGTATCCACAGAGCAGTGAGAAGAGACTTTCAGACTACTAACATGTGAAAAATAAAAATGGATTTTAGGGTGACCCAATTGGAAACCACTACATTTTACAAAGTGAATAACCAAGGTCCGCTGCCCAACACTATCCTACAACAACCAAAATTCAGTATTGAAGCAAACTGAGATAGTTTTGTGTGTGTGCAGAAACAAGAGGCCTTGAGAAGAACTCCAGGCCCAAAATCTAGCTATTGAAAGTCTATTAATTGTTTTCACCCAAATCTCATCCTAGGCCTAGCCATAGGAAAGACTTAACTGCTTTGATATTGAGTGATAAGTATGTAGGAGTTGAATTGGAGTGCAACTACACTACATTTATAGCCGCCAAGTAGAACTTTGTACCCATTATCTTTGATCTTTGAAAATGGAACACATACAGTAAACATATTTTAACAAAGTCCTCCAGTGAGAACCCATCATAATCATCAACACTTCAAAGATTGCATTATTATTACACATCAACATAGAACTCAAAAATGTTAATATTCATACATGTGTGTGTATATAGACACAAAAGAGAGGAACAAATGAGAATTCAGTTACCAACACTAAACAAATAGTCGATTTAATCAAACTTCTATAAAATCTCTAACTTCTATATAAACAAATAAATAATCACCTACAAAATCAAGGAGGTCTCAAATGCATGCTACATGAAAGCAAGTAAAACCAGTTTGGGAACTTGAATAAACAGTGAGCAATGGCGGTACAAGTAATAACCTTGATGTCGAACCCTGTGTTAGGCGCAAAAAAGCAATTACTAACAATTAATCATTTAACCACTCTTCTTACCAAAAAAACAAAAAAAAAAAACCCCATCATTCCTTCAAACTCACTCTGAAAATAATGCTTCCAAGCCTACGAGCATGTGACTCCTACAGTACACTCAACTCAATTCAAAAACCTCCATATGAGGATGTTAAAACCTATCACCTACTTCACCCACTAAACCTAACCCACTACACCACTACCACCTCACCTACTCCACTAAACCCACTACACCACTACCACCTCCACTTCACCTACTCCACCTACCACCTCCACTTTACCTACTCCATCTACCACCTACTACCACCTACTCTTCTATATATAGGAATCATTGTAGCATTCAATAATTCAACAATTACAAACATCAATCAATAATACAATTCTCTTTTTCTCTTTATACATTAAATTTCTACAAAAATAATAGGATATAACCATACAACTAATAAGAAAACTTCTCAGATCAGATTAACAGCTTTTCTGCACAATGTGTCAACCATAAAATTCCCTTAGCTCTTATTTACATTGTTCGAAACAAGTGATCAATATATTGCACCAAATGCAACAATTCAGTCAAGAGTAATTGCAAGATTTCTGCAAAAATAGGTGTATCTTCACAAAATAAGTCAAAGTTTCAAGTCAAAACACATATTTCATTTAGTTAAAAAAAAAAAAAGGCCAAATGTTTCCTATAGTTGCTCACTCCCAGAAGAATCTATAAACAGTCTGTCAGCAATTTACATACAAAAACCTACGACTTCTCTTAGTTGTGTTAACTCCAGAATTACAGAACAACAAAATTCAAAAGAACAAGAGCCCGAATGAATACAAATAGTTTCTGATTTTAAAGCACTCACCTGAAAAACTTTTGGATTCTTCAGCATTGGCCTCATAACTGGATCCTTTAAGGGATATTTTATTGTGTGACCGCTCTTTTCACCTCTTGTATATGCCAGTTTTGTTAGCTGTTACTTTTGCACCACCCTCTGTCTTTATCTGCTCACCATTGAAAGACAAAAAGAGTAAATAATCCCAAATAACCTTCACGCCAAGACAAGTAAGCAAATTAGTTCTAGCCATGGATACAACGAAACCACTTTTCCCCCCTATAAAATCAAATCACTTATTAAGGTGCATCCAACATGCTATTCACAACTAAAGCAACATAAAGCAATGTATCACACATCAAACAAATAAAAGTAATTTCATATACTTGAGAGTCATCTCATAAGACCAGTTTCTTATCATAAAGATATATTAGAAAAATATGTGCATGTGTCTGGGGTACAATCCAAAATACTAACTTTATAATAACACAAATAACAATTCTTTCCATTGTTAAGCATGATTCCAATATTTTCAATAGAATTCCAAATTATAAAGAACGAAAAAGAAGATGAAGAGTTATCCACAAGCAATGAAGTAAATACATCAAGACTAATTTTTGAACAGCTACTCTTTCCTAGGGTTCAAATTCAATTTCACAGTCACTAAAGGACTCGGTAATGTCCAATAGAACCTGCCTATAGTGAACCCCAATAGAAAAATCCACATTATCCCGTCATAGGAAGAAGTTTGAAGCTGCAAACTCCACAAATCTTTAACAATTCAACACTCTTAGCAAAAAATAGAACATCTTTAACACTCAGTAGACTGCAAATAAATATGTTCAACAAGAAAACCACTTTACACCTAATTTCAAGAAGCAAAGCATCTCCCATACACCTATTTCTTTTATATACCAATTATACCAATAAAAAAGCTTTATATATTTGTAAAACTGCAAAGATCTTTGAAAAAATACCTTTCCACTAGCTGTCACATGGTCCCCATTGTTTAACTTGATGTACTTCTTACTCCTCTGCCAGCAAACAGATTCACACAGTTTAAAAGGAGATAGTTTGAAAGAAAAACAAAAAAATAAACATCCACAAGATATACCTTATCCCAGTGGAATCTAGATTTTTGTTTCTGCATGCCACCACTATCATCTGCAACCAGATCCAGCACGGCAGCTTCCAACCTATTCAATTAATTAATCATGACATAAAGATAAGTCAACTATTAAAACGTCAAGAACAAGAAGAAAACACATACTACAGATTAATAAACATTTCTTTTTTTATCATTCAGTAACAAAAAGGACATACTAATTACAAAGAAAACAGATAGAATGCCCAAAGCAAAAAAGAAGGATAAGGGAGATTCTCCAAAGACAACAATGGAAAAAAAAAAAAAACCAATGAAGATAAATGTGGCACACAGCCCTCCAATTACTACTAATAGAAAACAAAGGAACTCCTTTAAATGGTGCTGAAACTGACACACACTCTGATGAATAACTCAAATGATTCAGTTTCTTTTATAAATGCATATTAATGTTATGGTTATTATGGGTTTATTACGAGGGCGTTACACTAACCATAAAACCCACAATAAATAGTAATACAAAGAAGAATAAATTACAAGCTCAATGCCCTTGGTTCCTTTAAACCAAAAGCCGTGACTGCCATAAAATTTCATAACGCAATAATTATTATCATCATCAGTTGAGAAAACAAATGTTTGGGAATCAATAAGCCATCTAGAACTAATTTTCAAAAAAAAAATATATAAAAAAAATAAGCCTTCTAGAACTGCGTCTTGAAAAAGCATCCCAGAATAGTCTCTACTATTCTGTCTTGCGTCACGATTACTTATTTCAGTGGAACTATTAGACAAAATGCTGGAAGACATACTCACCACATCAGCTTGAAGTACACTTCCACCCCCCTGGCCTCGTTCCCTATCTGAAACAAGAAATCCAAGACCTAGAGATATGATCTCTTGAAGAGAATCATCTCTTAACAGGTGAGAAGTTATTGGTGAATCTTCACTCACATTATTTCTAAATGAATCTCCAAGCTCTTGGGGAGATGAACCGCTTGTATGTAAAACCTCTACACAAATCTGAGACACGTCCTTGTCCATCCTATTACCAAAGCCATTACTGACATCCATATTGGACCTTACATTTACAGAAATTGGCCAATACCTCTATTCTTACCATAAATCAAATCCCAATTTGTTGCTTAATGAATAGACTCAGTAAAACAACAAATTAAAGCCACTCCACCATAAAAAATAAAAATAAAAGATAAATCTACCTATACTGGTAATAACTAATAAAAATAAATCATATCCTCCTAAGTCCCTATATCAAAATTTATCAGTTACCCAGATGAAAACTCAATGAGTATTGCATACTAGGGGCCAAGAATCAAAATGGGTATTGTTTGTTTCTCACCAGAGGAAGTGCTCTTGACGATTTTCTCGGAGGAGCTCTTAGAATGCTTATGGTCCTTTGAGTTGTTGAAGTTTCTCATAGACCCATCAAAATTCATAGGAACACAAAAAGACTCTAATATTCATTTTTGAAATTTAGTACA